TTATCCCTGGTAGGAAACAAGTCACGGAGAGTTTAAATAATTTGCCCTAGAGACCACAGCTAGTAAGTAACAGAGCTGAGCTGAAAGGAAGGTCCCAGTACAGCCATTGCAGCCCCTTGCCAAAAATAAAAATAAAAAGGTTATGAAGTGTCAAAGTTCATATTTGTATGATTTGGGTGAAGTATTTAGAAAGGAGGCAAGATGAATATTTTATCTATTTGAAGTAATTAAATATTTTTTTTTCATGTATTCAAAAGTATTTAAGGGCCACATATTAAGCTGGAGCTCTCATGCCTACCACTACAAACAGGAACTCATTTAATTCATTCAACAGACATCTATAGGGCAGTTTCTATTTCTGTCTTCCCTGTGCTCTGCTGGGCTCAGGGGATACATCAGTGACATCCCTTGAGGAGGTTACAAAGAAGCCCAAGGACAAGTAAATATTGCAGGTTGTGTAGTGCTCCCACAGGGGAACAGCTTATAATTCCACATTAAGAAATGGGATTATTGAGTGGATTATAATAACTATCATGGGGGGGGGGGATGAGTGCTATTATCCAAAGAAGACTTCCATAGACTTCTATATAAATGGTTCATACCAGGTCAGATTTGGGCTCTAACCTGGAGCTCTTGATAAGTGTCCTATTCTTCAAGGGATAGCCATATTTTAGGAGCTGACAGAACATCTGAGAACAATCTTGGATCTGGAAAGGCACATTTTTAAATCAAGTTTTAGGAAGGTTGGTCTCGAAGGGTGCAGAATGGACTCAGTGGAAGCCTAGGGGTGGAGGGGGTCTATGGTGACAGGCCAGACATGAGCCTAAGACAGGGAATGTGGCAGCGTGAAGGGAAAAGAAAGGAGAGAGAAAGAACACTGAGGAGGAAAACATAACAATTCTTGGAGAAATGCAGAAGTAAAGCAGAGGCTTTGGACTCAACCAGAATTGGATGTGCCACTTACCAGTTCTTACCTTGGGCAAGTCCCTCTGCTTTTCATCTAGCAAATGGGTACAATATTATCAACACTACA